GTTGATGGCAACGATAGTGACCCCTTCTCCGGCCGAGGCATCTACCTCTGCGGATATCTGGAGGTGCCACTAGACTACACCAACAAGTCAGACGACCGGATCGTTCGACTCGCAATCATCAAATACCAGGTCTCGGGCCTAGCCCGCGTAGGTGAGCCCGACAACGGCACCAGAAACCCACCCCCCGGCGGCAGAAGCGAGCGCACCCTCGTCATCGAACCCGGCGGCCCAGGTGGTAGCGGAACCTCGTACGGCTGGAGAGTCGCGGAGCAGTACACCAAGCGCTTCAGTGATGGCAAATTCGACGTGCTGGGCTGGGACCCGCGAGGCGTCAACATCACCCGCCCCTCCATCTCCTGCTTCCCCTACGACGTCGACAGAGACCGCTGGTCCATTCTGACGGGCCAGTACATCGAAGTGTCCGCCGACCCGAAGCGTCAGCTGCAGATTGCCGACGCGATGAACGACGCCACCTTCAAGGCCTGCTGGGAAGTCCACGGCGACCTCGGCCGCTTCATGGGCACATCCATCGTCGCGCGCGACCTGGAGGAGATCCGCAAGGCTCTGGACGAGGATGAGTTGACGGGATACCTCGTCAGCTACGGCACGGGGATCGGACAGACATACGCCAACATGTTCCCAGACAGTGTCGGTCGGGTGATCCTCGACGGGACGGAATACGTCCGCGATCACCGCGAACTAGGCGGCTTTGGGTGGACCGCGCTCGACAACGGCACCCATGCCTGGTACGACGGGTTCCTCGGCGAATGCATCAACGCCGGACCGGATCACTGCGCGCTGGCAAAGCTCAAGAGCAGCAGCGGGGAGCCCCTCGTGCTGAAGGATCTGGACAAGCGCATGATGTCCCTCCTCACGTCACTCATTGACCGCCCTGCCATCGGGTACACCGAAGAAAGCGGCCCGTCTCTCGTCACGTACTCGGTCCTCGTCGCCGCAATCTACTCGGCTCTCTACAACGCCCAAAGCTGGCCGGCCCTCGCACAGATGCTATACGAGCTCGATCAGGGCAACTCGACCCTGGCCGCTGCGTACCTGGAAGAGCGGGCCTGGCAATACGACCCGACGCTCCCCGCGACACCCAATAAGCGGCCCGCCTCGGATGAACTCGCCTTCATCGTCATCTGCGCAGATGCCTACGACGCGCCGTTGCCACCCGACGGTCTCGTCTGGTGGGAATCCCTTTGGGCCAACATGTCGTCTCAGTCCTGGGTCGCGGGCAACTCGCGCTTCTTCGATGTCTTTCCTTGCCAGCAGGTCCACAAGTACTGGCCTGAGCCGGTGGACGTCTACCGCGGGGACCTAAATCACACGCTCAAGAACCCGATCCTGTTAATCGCGGAGACGTATGACCCAGCCACGCCGCTACGTAACGGGCGTAGGTTATTGAACGAGATGGGGCGGAACGCGAGGTTGATTGCGCATCATGGGTATGGGCACTCGTCAAGGGATACGTCTGATTGCACGGAAGAGATTGCGAAGCGGTATATTCTCGAGGGGACGTTGCCGGATGAAGCGGAGACGGCGTGCTATGCCAACGAGAAGCCGTATCTGTATGGCGCCAAGGATAAGAGTGTGAAGACTACGGCTGATGAGGGCTGGGACCCGGTGGCTGCGTGGCGTGAGCATCAGCGGGAGATAGCTCACATGCATTTCTGAAAGTTTGGGGAGTGATGAGATCTGGGCTAGTGCGATGTACTAGAGAGCAAGCAGTGTACGTTGGTAGATAGGTACTAGAATAGGAGGGACTTGAGCCGATTTATATCACAACCCCCCTTCCCAATGCCTGTCGGCTGTCCTGTATAATGTCTGCAATCGACCTTGTAAACTCAGAAATTTCCGCCTAGAGTCTTACACAGCCTCTGAAAATGGTGCTGCTCGCCAGGCATCAATCTTCATCATTGTTTCTCACGAAAGCTGCTGGGACGCCCGAGAATGCACTTGTGACGGGCGCCTAAAGGGGAAATTCTAACACCAATCCTCTTGTGGTTATTTTTAGGGATGGAACCACCCAAGCATCCTTCGAACAACACGACAGAAGGAGGGAAAAGACTTCCACCTACTTTCCATGACACTAGTATGCTCTCTGTCTTCTTTCCGAGCACCAAAGTGCCATTTGTTAGTGAAGTCCGTGAGAATGGCCATCATTCAGTGTATGACTGCGGTGAAGAGAAAAACGGAACCGCGGCTGCTGGTCTTATTTATGATCGTGTCAAGTGTCCGAGAGAATCTATTCTTGTCAGATAGAAGACGACTTCAGAGTGTATTTATATATTTTCTTAGTTCTTCATAAGCCCTCAATCTAGAGCCCTTTGGGCTCAAAAGGTGGCGCTGAGTTTTCATCCAGCGAATAAGCTAGTCAATTTAGCAATAACTTGGAGAATGGGTCTTGAGCAATGAATGTATCGAACCTTGATGACATTATGGGAAACTTTGAAACAAGTAAGTTCACGCACTCCTGCAAAAAGTCTAGGTGGCGAGTTTTTCACTCAAGCACGATGGCAATTGTAGGTCCAAATGGCCGTGACGCTGATGTGCCCTTCCTTCTCAAGTCGTGAACACCTCGATTGTCACTAGGCAGCGATATTTAAATTAAAGCAAAAGTGATTTCGACAGAAACCTGATGCGGACACAGTTCTCGATCAACGAGACAGTTTGAGTCATGTGAAGAATGTTTATAAATCATGATAGAGCGGAAATGTCCATGTCATTTATGCACGAAGAGTGATAGTCTATGGTAGTTTAAACATCGCCGTATCTACTTGCAGTTGCAGTAGACACTTGAACAGAATGTCAGCAAGCCGTAGAGACTCTCTCATGGCAGGAACTTACAAATCTTGTGCAATGGCGCCGCCTCCGCCGGAGCAACCATCGTAAGCGCCACCCCCCGACTGACACTGTTTTCAAGAATCAGTATCCGAGAGTCAACGGAAAAAGTTCAAAGGAAGTTTACCTTGGCCGGGCAGCCAGCGATGCAGTCTTCCTGCGTGCTGTAGACGTGTCCAGTCCAGGCGTGTGCGGCCAGAGGCGCTGTGAGGGCGATGACGAGTGTGAAGAGCTTCATTTTGTGATTTAAGGTACGTCAAGATGGGTATTGTAGTACAGACGTGGGTTGCGAGAGATCCAAGAGAGAAATGTCGAAGCCTTAGTCGGTGGAAGATGCGGTCTACTTATACAAGTTGGATTTCGGAGCATGCTACATGCAGTATTAATAGCACTAGCAACTGTCGACGCTTGTAAAATGCCAGATATCGGAGCCCGAGATTGTGAGTCCCCTTCACCAGATCGTTCTACCTTAGATACTTGGGGTTGTCCCTGAAAGCTTATTAAATTGAGCTGGCGAATCAAAGTCTAATTTGTTGGCTTACGGGGCCAGTTGCTGGGAACTGATGCTGGTTGTAAGATATAACCTGGCGGTATGTTGTGGTGATATGATGCGACAGGTGCCTCTTTGGGCCGTAATACCCGAGCTAGTTCTATACAGCTACTCAAAGACTTTACTCATATTTAACACGCCTTCAAATACGTGTATAGCAAGTGACTGGCTTATCTGCTCATCTTTCAGTCTGGGCTAATCTGCTGTAAAATGAAGGCAACAACGTTGCCCGGTTGGATAATCTGTACAAGTCATGCAACCACCGGCACTACGTATACTCGTAACAATCAAAGGCTTTAGTATCCACGCGCATTACTCAAACATCTACAACCCGAGAGCGAAAGAAGACCCCGGTTTTGTTGTATGGAGAAAGCCCTGGCAATCGAGACGAGGTCGTTCACCGCACCGCCGACCTATCCGACGCAGCTCGAGCATGACTCGATGAGAGGGACAACATAGGATTGGCCAATGAATGAGCTACGAATACGACAAATGCGTATTGGGCTGCTGTTGCAGACATCAACATGGTTCGCAAACTTGGCTCAGAGCAATAGAGCGCCCTGAACAGGTTAAGTTCCTTCCGACATCGCTGTTGTATTTGACCAACAGAGCATGTCGTGTATGAAGTCATGAGTGAGACTGTGTCGTCAGATTTTCTCCATTTCCAGGGCGCAAATACCGCTCAGACCAGAGTTCTCCAGTGGGTACAATCTTTGCCTGCCTTGGCGACGGAGTCTCCGGTCTACCACATCAGCATCCAAACCAATAGCTGATATTCTTTGTGTAGTCCGGAAATCCGGGACCCCTCCGAGTCATGTTATCATGCAACAGCGCGACATGTACTTTCGTTCTGGGAAAGAGGACTACACGTACTAGGTGCAATTTTGCCCATAAAAGTCCCGCCGTCAATATGTGACTGTTGTGCTTTCGGGAGATTGCGGTTCTATCGAGCTAAAAAGTGTCCTCAAATCGCGTGTTGAAAGACACTTCAGAGTTTGAGATGAACGCCAATAATTCATTCACTGTTCCGCAGATATCTACTCATCGACGCATAACGTGAGGTGGAAATAGTCTTAGCTGTTGCAAATGACGCGGATTTGCGCTCGCATGAAGCAAGAAGTTTAAATCAAGAGCCTCCAGAACGATCACGAGCTAATGCACGTATAATAGAATTCAAAACCAGGAAAAACAATGCGACTCTGCAACAATTGAGCGACTCTTCTATATTCTGTTCCAAAATTTAATGGAAATCTGTCAAAATAGTCAAGTTAACTTAGCGACGAAAAAGCCAACATGAATCCGAAAAGCTCAGTCGAGAGCACGTCGTCATTGCGGTATCTTCCGATCTCTAAGAGGATTTGACAGGTTGACGGCGGAATGCTTCGTACACTAGATGTTTAAGGTCTAATCTCTTTATGTTTGACTGCAGCTAATCTGAAGCAGCCCGTTGGAAGGCTATTTCAGAGAGGTTGAGGTATTATGAAGATTTGATAGGGTTTGCGGCTATTGACATCAATCTTTTCCAAGTTTCACTAAGTTTAAACATCGAACTAGGGTAGCCTGTGCTTGTTGTGTTATGTCATAATCGTACTTAAGAATGCGTTCCTCAAGCCCGTGAATAGTTCGTAGAGGAAGCGCCAGTAAAATTGGTTGGTTGGTCAGCGTGTTGGTTCTCAGCATCATTACTGAGGCCAGCTATACGTAACTGGCGCTGGAAAACGGACAGCATGGTGTTTTCGCTACTTCCCCGAGAAGAGTATCTGGTTGAGATGTTGACGGCGAGTTTTCGCAACATAGGTATTGATGTTGCCATGATTGTGGCTGAGATCTCAGCGCTTTCCCAGATGAAGAGGGTGCTTAATGTATCTAGGGGAAGAAAAGGTTTAGTTTGATATGACCTCCAAGTTCATTCTTGAGGGCTCATAACCGGACATGTCAAGACTTACATATACTTCCGGAATCGAATATACTGCGTGACTGTGGTCCGAATAGATATAAAACCTTGACTATCCCAGTAGCTCCAGCGCTGCAGACAACATTAATCGACAAAATCCAAGACATAGAATTGATGCACCAAATGCGGAACCGAAACTTACAAGATACCCATGCTCATAGCTACACAAATGCCAATCCGTTCGTGAGTGCTAAGATGAAGAGGCCATATAATTTTCCATGGTAACAAGGAAAGAAAAATGTCCAAGAAGGCCGAATATGCTTAAGAGAGGAAAGTCAGCCACCTCGATCCTGGAAAGAACCATATGACAAAGACAACATGAGTGTAATCACCATTGACAAATATCCCAAACGGAACAGACATTTCCCGTGGCCAGCATGGCTCCGGTCCGCCAGGGCCGCATGGGTTCAGAAATAATGGGAGCCACAGCGCGATGAAGAGGTTCATGGAGAAGATGATGAACCACAGCATCCATCGAAGCCTCCCCGTCATCAAACGCATGAGCGTGAAGGCGAACGATGTCTTGCTTAGCGCCCACGCTATGTTTGACATTACCCCGGCTGCCTTACTGATCTTGCTGTACTTGGGGACGTTCAGTATCCCCGCAAACGTGGACGCACTTAGAAGCGCGACCCGAAGATATATCATGCATGTGAACAGAACCTAGACATGGCATTAGAAGAACAGAAGAGAATCGCGGGATTGATTACGCAAAGATCCGTACTCACCCACGCCGAAAGTATGAGATAGTCGTCCGTCCCCAGCCGCCAACTTCTCAACGCCGAGACTCTCGCGTAAATCCTGAGAGCGAGAAAGGTCGTCGCGAGAACAAAGAGGACGACCAAGGACGCAATTGCTCGTATGGTTGACGACGGCAACGTATTATCCATGGTGTCCTTTCACGACGCCATTCTGACAGCGAGGTAGTAGCCGTGGTAAAGTCATGGGCATTGAAAAGATGAAACACCAAGAAGATGGTCGGATTTCGGAAAGACGGCGGGAGCGGAAAAGAAAGACATTCAGTCACGGGCCACTAGAAGGAGCCAACCTCCCAAGCTTGGACCATTCCGTCACTGGCGTGATCCTCTTCAAAAGGGAGGCAGGGGAAAAAGCAAAATGTTGCAGATGATAGATCCCAAATTCATCTATGGCTTTCTCTTGACCAGTGAATTATAGGTGGTGACTATGTCTCCCGGGAAAGAGATTCCGGTAGTTAGCTTGATCCTTTGTACACATCCCTTCAGTTGAGCCAAAACACCTTTTGAACACTTTCGACTCGGATTGAATGTTTATACATGTGACATCGAGCGCCTTGTGGTTTCAAGCCTGGGCAGAAAGTTTGAAGGTTAAATCCCACTCTCTACTCTATCTTGACTTCTTTTCTGTCCAAGCTTCAGCGAACAGAGTTTGGAGAGTCCTCTTGCGTATTTCTGAAGCACTGATGTGATGCTGTACCGAGATAGAGATCATGCATGTCGTAGGTGCAGTGCATTTGAGGTACGTCACCTTTGAACAGAGGACAACTGAAGGATAGAACTTTAGAAGAAACAGGTAAGCCTTCCGCGGTATGCGTTCATGCACCACTTAGTGGCCTGTTCAGGGCAAATGAATCAAACTTGGCCGCTTGAAATGCCGCGACAGGATGTGCGCAGGCCAAATGGTGGCACAAGCCGGGGTTCAAAGTCACTTGACTGCCGGACTCCTTACCTGTAGCTCGGACTGCAGTGACAACGGCCAAGATGCTATGGATTGTGAATGTCCTGGGTAACGAGAGGGGATTGGATGCAGCTGCCGCGCAGGGAGAGACTAGACCAAAACTAATGATACCGTGGCGCCTGCACACCTCAACCATGGTCTAAGACACTCCGCAGCATCACGTTGACTTCAGGTGCGGGAGTCTGGACTTGCGCCATCATACCTTAAACGGTCGTTGATGTACGCCGGGAACCAGAGACATTGACAAGTCATGTTCAGGCTCTGGCAACTTGCCCCCGGTCCGCTTCTCCCCAGAACTATTTACTGCATGTTCCTGACTACTAGTACTCGTCGTCTCAAACGGCACCGAATAGAAGCCCGCATGACTCCAAGAAGGGTTTTGAATTGCAATGCACCTCAGATAGCTTTGGAATGGGTCTCTAGAGCGGCCAGTAATATCTTCGCTTTTCTTAACTCGCTGTCATTCCTGTCAACGTCAACTGAGATTTCTTTAGGAGGTGCCAAACATCAACGCTTGATTAGCTCTGAGGCCTAAATCCACTCAGCTGGGCTCTTTAATCCTAGTTTCTCACTAATGCCCTCTGTTTCCTGTGCTTTCTTATTCACACTTTCCATTTCAAACCCAGCCACCTTCTTGTAGACCCGACCAATGTCTTCTAGTTCGTTCTTCGGGACAACATCGTAGACATTCTCGAAACCATCGGGTGCTCTTTCCTCGCATATTTGCAAGACGTGATCCGGTCCATTTCCACGGTTTGCCATGATAATCTTGGACGTGGCTGGCAGCCGCTCCGACTCATACGCCTTCAGCGCCGCCACCACATCGTCTTGGTTCTCAACAAGTTGCTTCGCAAGAGTCTCCGCGTCAATAATAGCCTGCGATGCGCCGTTGGAGCCAATCGGGTACATTGCGTGCGCAGCATCACCAAGCAAAGTCAGGCGGCCGAAGCTCCAACGCTCAACAGGGTCCCGATCGCTCATAGGGAACTCAAAAACCTTCTCGGTTGCGTCGATGAGATCCTTCATCTCGAGCCCGCCGCACCGCCAACCTTGAAACGGCCCCTCAAACACAGACTTGTCGACTGCCTTTGTCCAGTCCGTCTTTGGCGGCGTGAGATCCTCATCATCCTTGTCTCTTATCCTGAGTTCGGCGATCCAGTTCACGAGGCTCTTGCCCTTATCTGCGGAACGCTGGCTAATGGGATAGGCGATGAACTTTTGATCGGCGTGACCAGCCCAAACCATTGATGCTCCTGTGAGATACGGCTCACGCTCGATACAGCCGCGCCAAAGCATGCGGCCCGAGAATCGTGGCGGGCCTTCGTTGGGGTAGAGAACCTTTCTCGCGGTCGAATTGATTCCGTCAGCGGCTATCAGAATATGACCAGTGACGCTAGACTGTCCTGCTGGCGCACCATCTCGCCGTTGCGAAAACTCTGCCTTGATGCTCTTCTCATCCTGTGAGAACCCTGTCAGAGCGTGATTGAGATTGACCGCCCCTTCGCCCAAACGCTCTTTGACGGCACTCAAAAGCAGCATTTGGCATTCGCCGCGATGAATGCTGAATTGCGGCACTGCATAGCCTGCCTTGAGACCTCGTGGCTCGCTGAGAATGGCATGGCCGTGACGGTTGTAAAAGTTCAGTTCTTGCGTCTTGACGCCGGTCTTCTCGAAAGCTTCCAGGAGTCCGAGATTACGGAGAATGAGAATGGCGGAGGGTTGCACATTGATCCCGACGCCAAGAGTTGTGAGTTGTGACGCTGCTTCGAAGATGTGGATGTCTGTGAACCCAGCGGCGTGGAGGGACAGTGCTGCCGTGAGGCCACCAATACCTGCACCGGCGATGATGATCTTGGGCTGAGGGTTTAGAAATGGCATTTTGCGGGCTCTTGAATGGCACTCGTGAAGAAGCCAACTGTGTTGTCGTCGAATAGACCGAGAAACGAGAAGCTGTTGTCACGAAGTCATGAGGTTAGATCATAATACAGAGAGTGCATACTAAAGCCTCCACCGGCAACTTCAAGTCTAAGTGGTTCCGAAAGTCGGAATTGGTGGAGATTCATGACTGCCGACTCTAGATGCCGCGATTTAGCAAATTCTGCAAGATCCACAGAAACTAGGACCACCGATGCAGTTTCGTTCAGCACCCAAAATCATGATTCTCCCAAGCTATTCGGCGTGTTATGATCACGAACCATATTGCCACTTTGAGATTCGACGCAAGCATTGAAGTTCGATCTTGTCGCTAGGAATAGCTCCGCTTCGTTCGCTTCACCCCGCACAAATACCCCAGATCACGATGCTTTGACACCCTTCTGAACCACATGGGGATCTGGCCGAGGGGGAAAGACTCGAGACCCTGGTCCTGGTCCGGGTCCTGGCCCTGGCCTTGATCTGTGAGACTAGCGGCCGAGGTCTGGGGCTGCAAGCACCCCATAAGAGAAGAAGGCGGATCCGCTTGATACTCGACCACGCTCTTAGACGAGGGTGCTCGGTGCCCTAGAGATCTATTCGTCGCATCAAGGAACAAGGTTTCGTACCTGAACTTCGCTGGCGGAAATTGAGCAGCAGGCTGATTGACTACGCTTGAACGGTTGTAACCCAGCAGCTAGTGTCGGATCCTGGGCGTAGTCTCCCAGCCATTGTTTTTATCCAGCATGTACTTGTCGAAGAATCGCTGCAAGTCATCGAGATCCTCTTGCTGGTACATGTCGTGCCATTCTTGAGTTGCAGTCCAGCGCAACCTTTTGTGAGTGTCTCAACAATTTGAGTAGATGGCAATACGCCTCATTCCAGACGGAAAAAGTACAATTCTTCAGATGATCGAGAGAGCTGGAATGCTCTGACTGATCCCTCGATATATAGCCCAGTTGAGAAGCTGGCAGCGGCATACATCGGAATAGTAATGTTGCGGAGCTTTGGCTTCTTGTTTTCCCAATAGTCATTCCAGGTACCATACTTATCCACCATCGCGCTGACGTCCTCGCGCATCCCAGGTCCTATGGAAGACTTGTCGTCAGAGAAGGCTCGCAAACAACACCCACATGAGGAGCACACAACGCTTACAGCATGCCCATCCCATCAACACATCCCAAAGCACGGTCAGGAATGCCACCGCGACAGAGAGACTCCCTATAGTAGTCTCCGAGCCCTTCCTAAGGTGCTATGCAAGTCAGATGAGGAGATTGTTCGGCAGCGATGAACCACTGCGTTGTTGTAAGCCACGAGTTCCCGGCCATGGAGACCTTACATGTACCATTGCACCAAGGTTGCCGCGCAAATGATCAGGGACTTTAACTTCCTCTTACCTATAAGGCTAAACATAAATCCTCTGCTGTTCAATTTCAAGATCTAAGTCCTCTCCGCCTGACACTAAAGAGTACTTTCTGTGGCTTTACAAACCACCTATTAACAGTCCTCAATTCCCCACTGAGACACTCAAACTCATACCGCCTGACTAGCTCTGGGATCAACTTCACCATCTCCAGGCTTGATATATGCTTCCCTATACAGCTCCTCGCGCCCGCTCCGAAAGGCAGGTAGTACTGCTCCATGACCGCTAACGTCTCCGAGGAGGCGTGTTGGGGATCCCACCGTTCTGGCATGAAGTCTGCGGCGTCTGTGCCAAAGACTTTTGCGTTCCGGTGCGCTACCCAGGGATTGATACCGATGAGTGTCTGTTCAAAGTAGTTAGAACAATTTTATGCGGCTGTGCCATGTTGAATAAGGCTTTAAAGAGTTACCCCAGGCGGAAAATGGGTTCCATCGACGTCCAGACTGGACCCTACGACCTCGCGCCACATGGGCAAGCCGACGGCTGGATGGAGTCGCAGGGCTTCTTTGATGGCCATCTGGAGGTACGGAAGTTGCTGGGCTTGGTCAAAAGTGATGTGTTCATCGAGGCTAGAGCAGAAGCCTTGAGAATAGAGCTCTTCGTACATGCTCTTTGCGACACCATTTGTGGTGAGAATATGGTACATCGCACTGGTTAGAGAAATGCTCGTGGTGTCACTTCCAGCTGCAACGTTTCCTGTCAAAGTAAGCGTTTGAACACGAAATCTTTCGTATTCCTCCGGGTCTTCCTTCTGCAGTCGTTGAGCTTTTGTCAGGAAGGTCTCTCCGCCATGCTTTTCCTTGATGTCAATATCATCGCTCTCGGATTGGAGCTTTCGCGCAAAACTTGCGATACCACGAACAGGGTTACCATAAAGAACGAGAAGTATGGGCAACAAGACGGCGTTGACGCCTGAGAGTGTCGAGAACGCATTGGCGTCTTCTAGACCTCGCATGATGCCGTCGATATCTTGCCCGCCAGATTCCAAGAAACCTACTCGTCTGCCGAACTGGTATAAGAGTCAGAAAATTGATGCAATCGGGCAAATGAGCGGACCACCAAACTCACCGTGATCTCACCAATCACATCAAATGCATAGCACTGCATCCACTGCTGCAAGTCAAACGTCTCTCCGCTCTCGGCGAACTCGTCGAAACGCTTCAGAAGAAGCGCAACACAGCTGTCAACATAGGGCTCGTAGGACTTGATTGTCGACATGGAGTACATGCTGGCGACTTTGCGGCGCATGAGGCCATGCACGGCGCGATCGCGCGCGCTGAAGAGATTGTGATTCGGGATGCGAGGGTCTCCCCAGGCATCGTACCATCCGCTTTTTGGCAAGGGAGATGAGATGCCATAGATTACGCGAGCCATGGCCGGGTCATCAATGCTGTACATGCGAGGCCCGATGCGAACGATTTTCCTGGCTTTGGTGGTCATCAGCAATGGTCCAGGAAGTGATTAGAGCCAAGGAATAGTAGTCACTTACAGCCATTCTCATGTGCTTCGATGTCGTACGCCTCATACTTGCCCTGCCATATTTTCCAGATGTACCATGCATCAGTCCATCTGGCAAGGGCAGGCCCGTACGCTCCAGGGAGTGAAAGACATGCAAGGATGTGGCTGAGCAGCCAGCTGATGGCAAGGAGCGTGAGAGAACCAAAGAGCACAAGAAGAGACATGACAGTTTTCGCCTGGAGATGCTTTGTTTGGAAATTCGTAATGTAGACAAAGCTTATAACGTATGGCTCTTGGGGGATGAGGGCGTGGGGAAACACTAGTGACGTTGCAGGATGTGGTGGGGTGCCGAAACTCACATAAGTGGCGGTGGGGTAGTTGAAATCTCTTGTAGAAGAGAGTATAAACGCGGGGTTGAAGCCATGTCGTGAGACTTCTACAGTATACATTAAAATAGTACAAGAGGCATATTCAACGAACTCTGCCTGTGAAAGCCCATGTTTTGGAGGCTCACTTGGGGTTCAATGAGTATGTCGGCTGGTGATTCCTAGCTGCCCTCTTTAGTTGATAGATATAGATAATGGTAATTGCTACTTGCTATGGATCCTATTTCTGAGCATTCATATTTTGCTGGCGAGCTTTCTCCATGTGAGGATGGCCATAGAATACCTTACCTTCAGGACCATCCAGCGTTGCCGCCTTCTCAATCTCCTCGTAGATCTGACCGTTAACAGGCGCTTGCTTGGCCGAAAGGAGCGCGAAGGTCTTTTTAGCGCGGTCTGCCTTCGATGTAGATGTCACGACAATGCCGCCAAGCCGGTAGTATGCCCAGCTGAGCAGCAGCTCAGCTGTGGACAGCCTCGTTTGCTTTGACTGCTCTTCCAACTTCTGCAACAGTGCTGTGCTGTCTTCAGTGGGCAAGCGACCGCTGACGGCTGTCAAAAGGCCATAGTCTGCGCGACTGTTAGCTTGGGAGATTTATTTCCCAGAAACTTAGTTAACGGCGTTAATACTCATTGGGACAATGTTGTGCTTGACCTCGAACTCGCGGAGTTGCCGGACCTTGGGATCAGACAACAAGAACGGATTAAACTCGTATTCATTGAGCTGTGGAGGGTGTTTGAGGTCGCTGGCGCTGAAGATGTCGTAGTAATCGGGCAAGGTCCTACAAAATCGCGCTTGTGAGCTTTGATCGGGTTACGCCCCGTCGTTGTGTTATTGACGACATACCAATTCGATACACCAATAATGCGAGCAACTCCCTGATCCTTAAGATCTTCCAGCACACGCCATGCATCGCGATTGGTCATGTTACCATCATAACCGCGGGGCGGGAAGTGCAGCTGCAGGATGTCGACATAGCCTTCTAGTGTCCCAAACCGCTCAATCTCCTGCTTTACGGCCTGGATCATGTGATCGCGGCCTCGACATCCTAGGGATGCGTAGGTATTGATCTTAAGGGATAGGAAGATCTCGGAGCGTTTGAGATTGCTGCGGCGGAGGACTTCGGCAAAGCTGTCATTATTGGTGTAGATATCGCCAGTGTTGAAGTGACGGAACCCCGCGTCAATCGCTTGTTGAATTTCGACGCTGCTGTCTGTAGGAAGTGGATGAGTGTGGCCAGGTGCCCACTTCATGAGGGTTCCCACTCCGAAGCATAGGCGGGGTACGGCTATTCCTGAAATGCTGATTGTTGACATGGCTGTTGTATTTCTCAAGACGTCGAATACATTGGATGATGTTGGCGGCACACAACAAGCCCACGTCCGGCGGGTGGGTGCTTTTACGGTGGGGAAAAGAACATGACGCCGTCCAAGGTTCCTTGCTTCATACGGACGCCTCCGCATTGTGGGGTACTCCGATGTGGTGTTGTGCCGTCCCTCTAGAGCAATTCGACAAGGTCACAATACGGACCTCCTGGCACAGGCGATAATTATTTCAAAACAGACCTCATGGCTTCCCATATGGGAAGAAAAGTTTCTCATCATTCAGACTACCGCGGTTGGTTGTTACACATATAAGTCTTTCATTCACTTTAACCCACCATGGCTTCGTCTAAGTTTCTTCCTCACGAGGGCAAGCATCACAAAATTCGAGTCGCCATCATTGGCGCAGGAATCTCTGGACTTGCCGTCGCCAACGGCTTGCTGAAAGATCCAGCTGGGAGATTCGATGTCCAGGTCTTCGAACGCGACACGATTGCATTCAACTCAGAGCGTGGCGGGTATCAGCTCCGCATCAGCGCCAATGGCCTTAACGCTCTGAAGACAGTCTCCGACCTTGAGCTCTGGTCATTGATCCGCGAGGTTTGGGCCGGTGATCAGGCGGAAGCGCCTACCATTGTTGATCCCGATACTTTCGCAGTTCGTCTTCGCCTCGGCGATCTCAAGTTGTATCCCAAGAGTCGAGCCATACCTAGGAAAAGACTGCGTGGTGCTCTTCTACAGCCATTACTAGTTCAAGGGCGGGTTCACTTCGACCACACCTTCGCACGCTTTGAGCTGATGCCCGGTGAGCGATGCGGCGTGCAGCTACACTTCGATAGTCAGGTTTCACAGGAGGCCGACATTCTTATCGCATCAGACGGCAGCAACAGCCAGGTCAACCGACAGGTTGGTCTTAACAACAAGATCAAGCTAGACAGCATGACTTTGATCCAGTCTCGCGGCATAATTTCACGATCTGTACGAGATGAGCTGCCCGAGTCGCTCGTCGAATCTGGCTCGGTAATGTTCTTGGGCGGCAAAGATGTTGCTGGATTTGCATCCGTCTATGACCCCCAGAAGGCCCCAAGTACCAGCGGCACAGAGTCATACACCTTGTTCTGGTCGGTCGGTATACCGAGGGCCCGGGGAGACGAGCTGATAGCGAAGGCCGGCTCGAATCCTGAGAAGATCATTCCTCACCTCATAGATTACTTCCAAAACGACCTTGGCTATGGCAAACCTTTAGAACTCATCATGCGATCAGCGACTGAGGCTGTCCGGACGGGCCTTGTGACCAGCTCCGTCAAGCCGAAGACGGATTGGCGAAACGGTATTGACAAAAATTCGCGAGTGGTTCTCCTCGGCGACGCCGTGCACCCCATGACGCCTGGCCGAGGCATGGGTGCAAACCAGGCGCTGACTGATGCCGCCAATCTTGTCGAACTTTTCCACCAAGCAACATTTGAGCAGGACGTGCCGTCGGATGGGGAACTCGCCGCTTTAGCGCGCACATTCGACGCAGAGATGTACACTCGCGCGTTTAAGATGGTGGAGGCCAGTGAGACCGTAACTTCGCTAGATTTGACGACGTTATCGGGTAAGATGATGATTACCTTCGTCGGAATGGCTATGACCGCGATGGGATGGCTTATTTCTGCCTTAGAGACTATTGGTTTGAAAGCCGAAGTGAAGGTAGACTATGTATCGCATGAGAAGTAGTGCATGTTGGAGATCTGTGTCTATAGACTGAGCCAATGTGCTGATAATCGAAAAGGATATTATGAAGGCAGCGTGACAATGGATTTGCTTTACCGACTCCTCTGTGTGATGGACATCCTAGGAGCGAGCACAAGCCAGAGACGAAGGCTGGACACGGCTTGTCGACAGGATCCTGAAAGTTGCCTAGGTAGTTACGAGGGCGGCGCTGGATGGGATCCGATAGTTTCTGCAAAGCCTGGATTGTAGAATAAGTTCGCCTCGCGGTGCGGAGTTGCGGGGGTCCCCGGGCTTGGCCATCAGAGGGTCTGTGGCTCCAACCTGGCTATATTAGGTGCATAACTCAGATTCAATCCAGACGTCAATCTGAACTACAGCTTGCTTTCTTCTCCACTTCACGGCGTTGACAGGCAAAAGCTTAAGCATGGATGCCACAATCGAGTGGTTCGGTAAGCTGCCGCCACATTCAGTGTCTCTTAATTACTGCCGAGATTCGTGAGGCTCATTAATTACCCAGGTGCTACGACGTTTCGCGTGAAAGTCAACGGTCTCATCATCTTCTTGGACACATGGCTGGAGCGTCCAGATGTTCTGCCCAAAGTGTTGGCTATCGACGATGTGGATGAAGCGGATTACGTCTTCATCTCCCACGCACATTTTGACCAGTGAGTGTCACACTAATTCGCATTACAGTCACTACTATTTTTCCGCAAAGCCGACTCACTAGGTGTCCTTTAGTCTTCCCGGAGCCGATAGGATCGCAATCAAAACCGGAGCACATGTTATTGCTAATGGCGAAGCCATTAACGTCCTTCGGTCAGCTGGAGTGCCCGAGGACCAGTTGATCCCAGTATCTGGTGGCGAGCGCATCCCTCTTTTTCCTTTCAAGTGCCGTCAAGCTGCAGCACGTGGTGAAGTTGACATCGCTCCTGGGCCACCAGGCGCTCCTCCAGCTCCGGATGCTAGATTGGCCGCGGCCTCCGTCCATGTCTGGCCTTCACTGCACTGTCTCATGCCTGGTGGCTCGCATGCCGATGTGCCTGCAATCATGGATACAGGCAAGGAGTATATTGGAGGAGCAAGCCAGTACGCTTGCACACTGGATATCACATTCGGTATGAAATACGGCCTCCTCAAGATCGGCGACCACATGCCTCGCGATGCTATGGACTCGGGCATGCGCTCTTTCGTAGACTACGTCAACGGCCCAGCGAGGGAATGCATGTCTCACTTTGACGGAGGGCAGCTCATGTACAACTTCCTGTTCGGGGAGGGCAAGACACTGCTGTGGAACGGACATCTGGGCGGGTACGATGGAATACTGAAGACGGTGCAACCACAGCCAGACGTGCTCATTCAAGCGATTGCTGGACGGGCGAACTTGAATGGAAGACCGTTTGATGGATCTGCGGCGCAGTTCGCGGTGCAAGTATCGAAGCTTCTAGGAGAGCCAAAGAAGGTGATCTGGTGTTTGCACGATGAGGCGCCGATCAAGCCGTGGACGGTGGATGTAAGCCCAGCTACGCAAGCGATCGAGAAGGAGACGGGTTCCAAGGTGACTGCACTGCAACTGGGTACATCGTACATGCTTTTCTGAACATTGCAAAATAAAAGTAACACAAAGAAGTCAGATCGGGGCGTCAGAGCAGTTTGCAATGCAACGCCTATCATAACGTCTCAGCTTTAACGACTTCTTGACATGCTTGAGGCAGTTCCATCTACTAATGTGAACGGGACTAAGCTTGATTGAGTAGGCGAACTGAGTCCCGCCCTCTGTGACATTCGCGAGTTGCGGTGGCGGTTGGTAGAGTGCAAGACGGGAGTTTCTCATCGGCATCCCTCCACCCCCACGGCCCCGCCGCCATTCCCCACATATTTCGGGATCCCCCACCCCCGCCGCCGCCGCGGTATCTCGGAACCCCAACATTCCCCATCATGCTCCGCAGACATACCAAGATTTCACACCTCGATGAATTGTTCAATATGCGATCGCATACCTCCGCAGTTGCCAATCTAGGTAGCAATGCCGATAACGATGGCGCTGCCGACGGTGTCGGTGACGGCAACGGCCCCTCATCCTCCCCGTCTTCCTCCTCCGCCTCCGCATCACTGCTGTGTCCCGAATGCGGGCAGACCTTCCGTCGGCGCGAGCATCTAAGTCGACATCTGGACCGCCACTCCGGCCGTCGTTCTCACGCATGCAGTATCTGTAAGAGGGCCTTCTCTCGAAGGTGTGTATCCTCCGTGTCTTGGATAGGCTGTGTCCGGTTCTTCTCCTGTAACGTCTGTGACTGACTTTCGGGAAAAAGAGACACGTTGAAACGGCATGTCCGCACACATGGTACTGCAGTCCTCGTTGAATGGACGCAAAACAACGACGGTCATCTCTCACGAGACCAACGTCGTGCGTGCGAAGCCTGCGCCAAAGCTAAACAACGCTGCGATGGTTGCAGGCCAGCACCTTGTACCAACTGCACAAACAAAGGTCGTCGCTGCTCATACCAACCAAGTTCTGGCGATGACGAGACTATCCTCGTTGCGCAGCCTGTAGCCGATGGCGACGTATCCCCTGCCCCTACTCCGCCTTGTCAGAACTTGCAGCCTATTACTTCGCAATCTTGCGTCTCGGACCAACCTCCGCTCGAGCCAGACCTCCTATGGGACGCCCTCTTGACCCCTGCCCAATTTCTGTTTCCTTTCTCACCGGCTACTTCTCTCGGAGTTGGGACATCAACAGACTTTTGCTTCGGAGACACTGCTTTGGCTACCGTCGTTGAACCTGTGGATGACCAGAGCGTGCAGAATAGCTTCGGTGCAAAAGCAACACCAAGAGTAGGTGTGGAGGCCGTTGAGGTCATTACTGAGCCAGGCAACCTGACAGCGGAGGAGGAAGACATCTTGATCGCTGAGTACATTCCTCATGTACCTCCCATGACAGCAGAAACGCGAGCATACATGCTCCAAGCCATCAAAGCCCGACTGCCACAGCACGAAGCCCAAGGGCTTGACGCCAACTTCCCATCTTTGCGACACCTTGATGCATACATGCAATTGTATTTTGAGCACTTTCATCCGCGAATGCCTTTGTTACATAAACCGACATTTCAGGCGTCACCCGAGACGTGGCAGCTGGTACTCAGTGTGTTGTGTCTTGGCAGTCGGTACTCCCTAGCGCACCACCATCACGATCATGTTTTGCTACTGCAGCTAATTGCCCAGCACATGCTGAAAAGAGATGTAAGGCCCATCATTGGAGCTTTTCTCATGGCATGGTACTAATGTGACAATTCAATAAATTGCAGATTCAAGAGCTATCGAGCAATGACGTTTTGACCTGTGCGCAATCTCTATTGTTGTTCCATCAAAGCCAGTGGCTCTCAGGTGAGCGGAGCATTGTCATCGAGGTGCAATTCTACCGGAATATCCTCGTCACCCTTTGTCGCCAACTGCTGTCTCGAGAGGGCACTTTGATGCACACGCATACATCCGCTGAGGACGCGAACCACGCATGGTCCCAGTGGATACAAGCCGAAGCCAAACGAAGGATCATACACTTCACTTGGAGTAAGTCACCTTCGCTGACCCACCCTCGTGCTACGAAACTTACACACAAAAAGCGTCGGAGTGTCTCCAGGCGACATTCTTCATGCTTCCTCCTCTGCTCTCAATTGCTGAGCTACAAACTCCGGTGCCCACAGCTGATGCGTACTGGTCATCGAGTCAAGAGCAGTGGCACGTTCTCCCGCCACCGCAGCCTTCATTAAGTATTTGTGCTCTACTTGCACGCGTTGGTCTCGGCGATGTAGTGCCGGCGAGTCTAGAGCAGCCGGCTAAGTCTACAATACTGCTCTCGGCCATCGTGCAGCAAGCTGCCGAGAGCGATCTGCTTCGAGCTATGGGGCTCGGCTCTGTCGGCAGTACTGCTAGTCAACCCGGTCTAGCTCTAGGAATGGGGACGATGCTCTCCCAGAAAGCCTTCGATGCTTTGTCCCAGGCAGGATGCTCTCAGATGTTGCGCGAAACGGACGCCGGCACCAACTCGAATGACTTTGCCTTGCTCTCCCGAGTCCTTTCCATTTGCTCAGTCACACCGTTGCGGCTACTCAACCCCTACGGCAAATGGCAGACGACAGATGCAGGTCACAGCAAAGCCCGGTCCGAACTGCTGAACATCATACCGCAGAATGTCAGCAGAGCAAGGCACTGCTTGTACTACGCAGCGCAGGTTCTTCAACACTTTCGCACTATGAGAGTGGCAACAGTACTCGACATCCTTAGCGTCTTGATCTGCGTGCTCTACATGGTGGTGTACGCAGATATTTTCGAGCAACAAGATCCTAATTCCGCCGGAAGTGGGGCCAGCACCGGAACATCCAATACGGAGATCATCCGACTCGACCAAGTCGTTGACATAGATCTTTTAAATGGCTGGTTGGAGGTCAGAAATCATAAAAGACCTCACATTGCTGGGGTCGGTCTCCTACACGGCGGCCGCAGCGTGCCTCGTTTGTATAAAGAAGCGTCGCGGATTATGGCAACCGGGTCCTCGGTCTCGAGGATGGCTAAGGAGATGTCGATCATTCTCGAGTCACAAGCTAAAGGTTATCCTCCAGACCTTCTAGATCGCCGACAAGACATACAGAGAGCGGTGTGAAGCTGAGTTGAGTCACAACGAAAACCACGAGGGCACAAAATGAGGCAAGGCACGACGATGTAAACTACGACTTGATACCAAGCATATATAAACGGTTCCTGCCATCTCTTTTACGATTTTAGTGGGCTGGAACCTGCTAGACTGAACTACGTGGCAGGGAGCGCAGATGTGTGGCCCTCGCCGGTAGAATCTTCGCAGGCTATGTGGATGAAAAAGGGCACCTTTTGTCTCAGGTACCCAAAGAACCGATGAGGGTGCCAATTCCACTAATTGGTCGCCATAATATATATTCCTCGCAATGTTTCGGTAGAAGAATCATCCTTCGACCACGCTTCATAATCCAGTTTTTCGCATCTCGTCTGCGTCCTTGTATGCTGCTAAAGACATTGCATAGGCCAAGCTGGCCGGAGTTGTCTTCGTGGTCTGTTGTGTGTATGGATTTTGATGTTTTACCGTTGCTCAAAACTTTCACAGGGGATGGTGATCACTTGGCTGTAACAAATAAAAGCCATCTGGGATGAGACCACGTAGCGGTCAGGGCCCGGCATCTGCAATATGGAAAGCCGATCTCCAATCTCTGCATTCAACCGCAACACATAACCGCTCTGCGTGTCGTAAGTTTCCACAAATCCAATAACTATCAGACCTGCGGTGGAGTTGTACGTGATGCCCCTTAATCGGTCGGTCCGGTCAAGCTTTAATTCCCAAGTCGTAGCGCTGGATGTCAGGTCGATGATCTCAGTTTCGGTTCGTCATTCAGCAGGGCTAAGTGAGTTGCGTTCGGTGAGGAGCTGCCAAGGGCAGCGCTAACATCTGGAAATTCTTCCAGAGCCTCACTCATTTGAAGCGTAAGGGAAGGAAAGTGCCACTACTGAAATCGCCACGTGTTCATCCGGCCGTCATTCGTGCCGATGTACGAGCCACAAAGAGAAAAGGGCAACCATTTGGATGTCTGAATTGGCTCTTCATCCAATTCACTGTATGGGTATTCATCGATCTTCGACAGTGATTGACTCTCTGAGTGCCTTGCATTCCGTATATAGCAAGCTCATTTGAAAGTCCAATCGCCAAGATCTCACTGTCTTTGCTCCAATCCAATGTAAGATCGGTGTGATCGTGTTCCAACTGCGCCTCAACGATAAGGGGTGGAACCCTTGAGGGAGCAGAAAGGGGCCCGCCCATGTTTTCGCTATCCCAAACGCTCACGTTCCCTCGGCTAGAGTTATCGCAAATTCTGAACGATCAGGTGAGGATTCAGCGTTCCTGAGCGCGCGCATTAGAAGTGCAAGCATCGGCTTGCTGAATTTGAAGATTAAGGGCTAAAGATCAATATCGATGATTCGAACCAAATCGGAGTACTTTGTGCACATGAATTTGCCATCAGGGGAAAAGCAAATATCTTGATCAAGTTCAGGCTGACTTTTGTAGATAGATGCAGCGTAAATGAAGAGAGGAGTAGAAGTGTCGTTAAGATGTTTGACGATACTTTCTCCTGGCCAGTCCCGTAAAATCCGGTAGAATATTGTATCTCTTCAAGCTGAGTCTTTATAAAGACTCTAATATCGTGATAGATAACGGAGCATGGTATTTCGTGAAGCGCCACGTCTTGATGCAAGCCCTCATATACATCTTCCCGGAACCCAAACCGGATCGGAACCTCTGGCCGACTGGTGAGGAAGACTCGGACTCTCACTTCGGTAATGGCTGCTAATTTGGTAAGCTCCTTGAGGAGCATCCGGCTTCTATCCTGTTCAGGGGATTCAATGTTCCCGGTGTAACGTTCATCTAGCGCGTCGATGACGAAGACAAGCGTTAGGGCTAAGAGTCCATCAAACTTCAGTTCTTTCGGCGGTCTCGAGATCAGTCCATCAAACTGTGTTTGGAGTTTTTCCCCAGCTATATCAGGCTTCTTTTGTCCAGCCTCCATTTAGGCTTTCTTCGAATGAGTTGCCTAGCAACTGTAGTGACAAAACGGTCGACCCTGTTGCGTTCATCACTAGTCCTGTCAAAGAAAAAGCTTGCGGCATGGTGTGAGCACATATAACCATAGAGCATCTATTGCTCCCAATCGTTTCGGCATATGTTTGGATTATGGCTGACATGAACTAAAGACTACCGTTCTATCAGCCGCAAGCTACAACCTGATCAAACCCTTTGTCGGCACTTTGACGGAAGCTCATCTTTTCACCCTGCACTGGTGTCGTGAGCGGAGCAAGGGCATGCTTGAGTCCATTTTCGAACTCATCGATGTCGCCGCAAAAAGAGAATCGAAAAGGACAGTTACGCGGCAACAACATCATTTGCCCGGATGTATGACATCGGACACCAAATGAAAGTCGCACTTGCTACAACGGTCGTACTTGTGGACTGCGGCATGTTTCGTTACCTTTGAGCCACACCCTTAAGCATTACACGATGAATAATATTCGTAAGGTATTTAATGATAAAGACTTGCGATCATTTCCTAGTCCTGGGTAGCGCTTCCTATCTACATCTAGCAATGAATCTGGTTATTGGAAAAAGCGACTGGAGATCCCATACCATCTATTTGAGAATTGAGCGAACGTTGCTATTCACTAAATTGCTAGCGCTATTTGATAACGGAAGTTATCTCTTCCGTACTCATGTTCTCTATGACGCAAACAAGAGAGTGAGTGATTTACGAACGGCCCACAGCACTTCGGCAACTGCCTTCCTAGTGCATATTTGAATCTTGACTATCTCGTATTCGGCGTAACATTTCAAAGTGATACGATGTTGTTAACCGGCGCAGCCAGCATCAAATTCAATGATGAATCCTACTTACACAAGGCAATTTGAACCGAGTCGCACCAATCTGATGTAAATGAGAGTGTGTCCAACAGGTACAAGCACAAACGCAATCCTCTGTTGAACATCAAAACAATTTCTCGAACCTCTCTGCCGACTGCCTGTTTCCGTTGACCGGTTGACGGCACGGAGGCTTTTGGGACTCCTAGTTCCAGACACTAACAAAATTGGCGGACGGACGCTAGATTTTCTATTTCGGATTTCTTGAGATGGAGGATTCTGGAGCACACGTAAGTGGATGGCGTGGGGAATGTCCCAGACAAGGAGAGAGCCACGCAGAATAAGAGCGACGACCGAGGCGTGAGACTTAGGAATTTCAGTCTTTGTCAACAAATCAAACGCGCGATGATGGGGTAATGAAGGCGGGCGCGCGGCCTGGTCGCTTGTCATCGTATCGAGTCTGGAAAGGGAACGGCGGCGCGGCAGATTAAGAGATTCCAGCACGTCTGCGGCTTACGGCAGCTTCAACGAATGCACCTATGATTGGGGGCGCCAGGCTAAATGTCTCACCATGGGGGTACCACTGACGTGCGCACCGCATCACGAAGAGTCATTAGAGCTGCTTGCAGTTAACCACGTTCCAAGCCACACCCGTTGATCTAAACCCCCAACGGAGAATTTCTGGCGCGGCGTTTTTTGATATTCCTTTGTGTTTACCCCCTATAGCTGTTATTCCCCCATGCCTAAAGTAGGTATAATGTCGCCATCATACATGTTCAAAAGGGTCCCCTCCCTTGCACTCGGATGTTTCTCCCTTCCACCCATGTCCCTTGATAGTGATAGCGCTACCAGCATCGACGCAAGCAACTGATTCAGAGGCCAGAGAAAAACAGAAACAGAAGGGAGATAGAGAGAGGAGAGTTTAAAGATGTCGAAACCCCAGGACCGCCACCATGATCATGCCAACGGGCAGCACCACGAAATCCCTCAAACACATCTCAGCGCTATGGGAGGCCACCTCGTTGCCGCCTCGGGCGAGTTCGTCGGCACTTTTTTCTTCCTGTACTTTGCGTACGCCGGCAACATCATGGTGATCAAACAGGGGGCTTCCTCGGCCGGCGATGGCACGCTGAGCAGCGATGGCGTAGTCTTCATCGCTCTATCGTACGGTCTCTCTCTGCTGGTCAATGTTTGGACTTTTTACCGCATCAGCGGAGGCCTCTTCAATCCTGCGGTACGTGCATATATTTTCACGGGCACACAACCATATCCTGCCACACTAGTTGAGCCGCATGCTGATGGACGAGACTAGGTCACTCTCGGCCTTTCTCTCGGCGGTCAATTGCCGTGGATGCGGTCCGCTTTCCTCGTGCCGGCTCAGATGCTGGCCGCGATGTGCGCCGGCGGACTGGTCGAAGCCATGTTTCCGGGCCAAGTTTCGCAGGCAAACTCGCTGCTTGGCATTGGGACATCTGTTGCCCAGGGACTCTTCCTTGAGATGTTCTTTACCGCACAGCTCGTCATCGTTGTTTTCATGTTGGCCGTGGAGAAGTCTCGCGATACCTTCCTCGCACCAATCGGTGTCGGGCTGGCTTTATTCATGATTCTCATTCCAGGTAAGAAGACTTTCTACTTCAATCTCACCAGACGAGTTTCTGATAATCAAATAGGTGTCTGGGTCACTGGTGGCTCCCTCAACCCCGCCCGCAGCTTTGGGTGCGCCGTTGCAGGCAGGTCGTTCCCAAACTATCACTGGATCTACTGGCTTGGGCCATGCATGGGAGCCGCTCTTGCAGCTGCGTATTACCGATTTGTGAAATGGGCTCACTATGAAGAGGCCAACCCTGGCCAGGATCTACCAGCAGACCCGAAAGATTTAGCTGCGGCTAACTCGGGAAACCATGGGCTACCTCACAGCTTAGTGCCCCATCGTCATGAAGTCTGATGACAATATCCTCCATGTATAAACGTTGATTATGTGTTGCCAGCATGGCACATTCTTCTTATCTGGCGTTTGAAAAATATAATTAATTAATGGGCATAAGGGACGAAAAACCTTACGGGGCTGGTTTTTCACAGGGTTGAAAACTGGTCATCCTGGAAAGAAGATAAGATCAAGAGTTTGAAGATCAATTCCAGAAGTAAAAGTCATAGCGACTTTGCCAAACTAATTTACAACTTTGATCGAAGACTTTGTTTCGACAGCACCTCCGCAACATCGTGCGCACCACCACCCTTGCTGAACATTTCCCTTAAATCCTTGACCAATATCTCAGGCCTCTCATGAGCAGCGAAATGCCCACCATCACCATGCGTGACAGCAAACACAACGGGACCCAGAGTTTTGGCATGGCTCATCGGCGGAACAATTAGGTCCATGGGGAAGATGGATAACCCAAGCTTCACCCGCGGAACCCACGTAATGTGCTCCGTGTGCGGCTTAGGGTGCGCAACCTCGTAGTAAATCCGCGCGCTGGCCTCGGGCCCAGCCGTCGAGAACTGGTAGATGGAAATCCAAGTCAGAAGCTCGTCATCGGTCCATGGATATGAATCAGTCCAGTCATGCAGCTTCTCAAGAATCCAGGATAGTAGCGCCACGGGCGAGTCGGCCCACGCGAGGCCCAAGGTCGCCGGCTTGGTGCTCTGCTCAAGGTTGTATCCGCGACCCTCTCTCTGGAACCACTGGCTTCGCTCAATGCCTTTCTTCTCCTTCTCAGAGTAAGGGAAGAGATTTTTGATGTACTGTAGCGGGTTCTTGAAGAAGGACGGTGGGCTCGCGGAGACCATGTTAATGTGGGATGCGAGGACGTAGTCTGGGTAAAGTAGGCCCATGAACCGGGTGATTCCAAAGCCCCAATCGCCTCCTTGAGTGACTACATAATTCTTAGCTCGTGGTCCGATAGCTGTTCAAGCATGCACACTTACCATACTGCTCGTAACCGAGCTTCAGCATCACCTTGTGCATGACCTCGGCGTACTGAGGTAGGCGGAAGCCTGGTTTGTCCGGACCTTCCGAGAACCCAAAGTTAGGAAGAGACGGTGCCACAACATCGAAAGAAAGACCATTCTTCTCCGTCGTCAACAGCGGGAGAATCTTGAGGACCTCAAGGAAGCTACCAGGCCCTGATCTCAAGTCAGTCATGGGCGACATACGTGTGAAGAGTGGGCGAGGTCAAACATACAGCCGTGAGAGAATAGCAGCGGCACAGCTCCAGGTTGCTTGCTCTTCTGGTGGATGAAGTGAATCTCGAGGTCGCCGAAGCCATCCACTGAGATGGTTGTCGTGAATTGTGGCAACTCATTCAGCTTGGCCTCTGCAGCGCGCCAATCGAAGCCGTTGCGCCAGCGCTCGGCCAACCTCTTCACTTCTGAGACCGGGGCGCCATAGTCCCAGCTTTCGGTGAGCGCAGACTCTGGTGGGAACTTTGCGAGATCGAGCTTGGCGTGGAGCTCCTCGATCTTTGATTGTGGAACCTCGATCTTGTACGGCTTGATTCCGGATGCCATGATGTAGTTTTGTGTTTTGACCCTGTGAAGCTTCTACTCGGAATTGCGGCGTGAATTATTGCCAACTGTAGATGGTGTCTGGAGATGTGCCTTCTTCAATTGCTTCGTTGGCTGCTTCGATGAGGCTGGACAGGCTGGTTCATCGACGATGTTTTATCCCGATGGTCAACAAACACGCCCTTATTTGGACGATTCGGATGTGCATATGGCGTCACAATTGGGTGGTCGTGACTTGCTACAGTCTTACTAATCCACGTTCGCTGTTTCCGTGCCCCAAGATATGTATGGTTGTCTTGTTGCATCGGGAGTGAGCGTGAGGGGTCTCCGAGGTCCAGCACGGTTGTTTCTACAGCGCTAAAAGCACCAAAGTCCCAAACTCACTCACTGATGGTCTCTGAGGGTCTGACATCATGGATGAGCCTGGTTGGCCTGAAGTGAGATCGTCGCGTCGCAAAGGCGCGATAATGACAATCAACATGAAGGGCGTGCTGATAAATGAAAGCTTTCTTACAAATGAAGCCTGTTGGTAAATTTTCAGGCCAGTCCAGGACATTCATGCGCTGAGTTCGATGCAGGAGTGAAGGCATGTGCTCGGATTTACTCACTCACTGAGTGCTCATTCACAGACGCTCACCTCACCCATACTCTCCATGAAAAACATTTCGTTTGCATGAGCGAAATGACATCTCTCTGTCAAAAAGATGATTCCAATGGCTTTCTGTCAATTCCTCCTTCTCAAGACCTCTCATACAACTTCACTTTCTGCTAGCTCTCAGATGGTCGTAGCTTACAACGGCTTCAAGCAGGGCTTGAGTGCCATTCGCACTGCAGCAAAGTTAGCTCACACTTCTCACGACACCAAGGGCGCATCCACTGACCAATCTTCCGGACTGCAATATTCCTCGGGGTGATGGCTCACACCGTCCTTGCAAGGGACGAAAATCATTGTCGTTGGGCACCGCTTGCTCGTGTAAACGCTGTCATGCCCCGCGCCGCTGGTCAACGGTAGCCAGCCGTCCGGCCCAAAAAGACCAATCGCTGCATTCTCCACGGCTTGGATGCACTCCTTGTCAAACTTGACCGCGGGCGAATCGGTATCGAGCGTCCACCGCACCTCGACCCCGCGGCCATCCTCCCCAGCGATCTTCTCAAACGACTCAATGCAACGCCTCTGCACCTCTTCGACAACTGCGTTTTCGGGGTGGCGAATATCAAGGGTGAAGGTAACCTCCGAGACGATGGTGTTGGTCGACGAGCTGGGTGGGATCTTGAGAACACCTGTCGACGCCAGCGCCCCGAGCTCCTTTGCGATGGCGTTGGAGGAAGCAATCATCTTGGACGCTGCGAGCAACGGGTCTCTGCGGGACTTCAACGGCGTGGTGCCCGTGTGTGCGTCGCGGCCCGTGATGGTGAAGGTGAACCAGCGATACGCCTGCGCGCCCTGCACGACGCCGATCTTCCTGCCGTTCTCCTCGAGGATGGGGCCCTGCTCGATGTGCAACTCAAAGTGCGCGCCCAGAGGGTAACCAGTTGATGCGTCGCTTGAACAGGCGAGCGGACCGATGTAGCCGTGTCGCTCCAGCTCAGACTTGACGGTCACAGAAGGGTCGAAGATATCGCCCAAGTCCCAGGCCTTTTCCCGAGGGATTTCACCTGCCCAGACGCCGGAGGACATCATTGATCTCGGGAAACGGGCGCCTTCTTCGCTGGTTTTCGTCAGACATTATGCGTCTTTTTCCGAGGTGATGGTTATACTTACTTGGTCCAATTGACGATGCCAACATCGAATTGCGTCTTGAAGTTGTTGTCTTTTAGTGTTCTCATCACCTCTACGGCGGCTAGAACGCCCAGAATGCCGTCGTATCTGCCCCCGCGGGGTTGGGTATCAAGATGGCTCCCCATGGCTGTCATCGGAGCGGAAGATTTGAGCGCTCCTTGACGTTTCGCAAACATGTTTCCCATCTCATCGATTGCAAGTTCACAGTCAAGGCTTGCCACCTCATCGGCGAACCATTTTCTCACGCGAGCATCGTCGTCGGACAGCGCCAGTCTGGCCATGCCTGTCTCTGTCACACCCCTGCCGTCATGATGATAAGCGTTGAGACCGACTTGATTGTTAAAAGGAGTTAGAAATAGAAAACTCACTTTCCGTATCGATGCGCTGCACCCCATTGGCATGTATGATGAATTGACTCTTGAAGGCGGTCGGTGTTGATCTTGAGTCCAGATAAGGAACCCCGCGCGGTTGAGAGTGACCTCACCCGGCGGGGAATGGGCATGATTACTGGCCTCAGGCGGGCAATCATGGTGAGAATGACTGCTGTTACGAGATTCAAGACAAGAGAAACGAGATAACTTGTTCGAGGGAGCCAATGGGTCTCAGTGAATTGCAAACGGCAGACGCAATTGGGTTGAAGTAGGAGAGTGAAGAGCGATAGGCAAAGGCGTTGGCCCCGGACCTTGTCTCCGGCAAATGCGCCCGAAACCGGGGGGTACCGCACCGGCGCAGCGTCAGCTATGGATGGAAACAATCAGCAGCAATGGTTGTCTAGTCGGTTAGCCGTCATTTACATCCATCGCTTGGCATATTTCTACGCCTTGAACGCCCTTCACGACAGTATATATGGATCTAGGATAAAGAAACTGGACGACCTGTGTCATTTTGTGTCAAACTCTACGCAACATGTCATGGGCTAGCTACCGCCCTATTGTGACACACCGACAGCATCCAGCCTGCGCGTCTCCACCAGCCCCATTTCTACCCAGAACGACAGAAGAACGAGCTTTTTAGATACTCATCAGTCAGTCACGCCTCCAACCTAGCGACGATTCCTGTGCTCGATTTCTTCAACTCTGAGTTGCGATCGGTCGGCCGGGTATCGCAGTTGTCGATGAACGGACCAGCACCCCAGTCTGAGAGACGAAAGCCGTTGCGCCAGTGTACATCGTCGGCCCCGGGATCTTGTACGTCCCTGTAGGCGATTGAGAGATGTCGTAGATCAACCCATCCTCCGCCGCTTGATACAAATCCGCGGCCGACGTCCCAGCGGGTTCGTCGCTCCCGCCGCCAGTAACTTCAATGTTGATACACTGGGGATAGTGCTGCGCGCCCTGCCCTGGATACCTAGCAAAATGGAGTGCAATGATCTCATGTCGAAGCACATAGTAACCAGGTTGGATCTTCGGCGGAATCTGCACCGCCCAGGTCGCATTATTGCTGATGAGGATATCGCTCGCCCAGATTCCCCACGCCGTCGCAAAACTCGTGGCATTGGCACTCGGATCAACCAGTCCGACCTTGTCAATCGCAAAAAAGCTCAACTTTGTCTTGTCGATAGACTCGCAAGACCCTCTGTCAATGCCGCAGAAAGCAAGGTACGTGATGACGGGACCGTGATGTGACTCGGGCCAACCTTGCCATTGAAAGTCAATGGTGTCACCAGCAGCAATGGGTGCATGGCCCTGAGCGTTGGTCGCATTGATATGACAAACGATGTCAGAGTTACCGTAGCTCTCGGTGCTGATCCAACCGTCATTCTTAACTGTCGTGCTCCATGCCGCGAGGATGTCGGGGTTCGAGGATCGTGTGTTGAAGCCTTGGTAGGATGCACCGTCGATTACGAAATTTGTCACTCGGCTGTGAGCGAATGCTAGAGAGACAAAGACAAAAAGGATCGCTGGGGAGGGAAACATGATCATGCTTTTTTCTCGAGTGGGCTGGGTCTGGGTCGGTGGTAACTCCATTATCTAGCCCACCTCACGAGACGGTTATTAATACCTGGAGGTGCAAGTGCAACTCGAATTGATCATATAAGCAAAGTACCGGAGGCATCAGCCTGGACCGCGAAGGAAAGATTTTCGGGACACATCACTAAGCTCCGCGGAAGCTAGGAAGCAGCAATGGTTCCGGCCATGTCGAGATCAAGTTGCTGTAACGATGAGACGCGATAGTAGACAAAGGTGCAGCGCCAGAAGTTCGAACGGTGCAGCATCCAGCCGGGATATTGCACCATGTTGATGAATCTGGTTGATCGCCAAGCTTTCGAGGTTAACTTAGCGGCGGCTGTCCGGGTGAAGTCTGATCGTGCAAGCTAAGCAAAAGTACCTTGGTTTCTAAATAAGAAAATAAAGTGATTTAGTCTCAACCGTGCCCCTTGAATCTCGGAGGATCATGAGAACACGTCCCTTTCGAGATGTCTCCAAGCGCGGGTGGGAGGGTGATCGACGTCCGGCTGGTGTACCCCACACACTGCATTTAACCTTCCGGGTGTGACCCCAATCATCCCAAAGGATCTGCAAATATGCTTTCTGCCGTACCGTACTTCCTTTTTGATGAGAATGTTCAAAATGGCAAAAAAAAAGTGACACCCAACAGACGGGGACAGCAAAGATGATGGAATTTGCAAAAAGCAATGGACGATCTGGGAATCGAACCCAGGACCTACCGCATGCTAAGCGGTCATTATACCACTAAACCAATCGCCCAGTGGACCTTGTGAACCTACGTTTTCCATATGCTCAAGTACCATGACTGGCGTGTCTCACACTTTCTGAAGGGACAATCCACACAATAAACCTGTTTCCGTCTGTTGTTATTATTTTAAGAGGGTTGTTACTTCACCTCGGTTTGTTAGTCGCTCTTCTCATGTATGCTTGACCTAGCCCAAGCTTGTGGCAATGGCTCAGGACCCACGGAGCTCCCTGAAGCACCTACCGTGATCGTCGCTGTAACAAAGCATTACCGTAAGCTGAGACGGACGAGGAGCGTAACTGTTCTGCTACGTTGCATCGATTAAGATGCAGAGCTTGGATGCGGCCAGATTTACTCTGTTGTTAGTACTGGAGCAAATAGGCATGGTCGACGGAAGTTGCACTGACGTTGTGCAAGGCAGGGCAGATTTCATAACTGTCGAGTTCATTGATTGACCCTACACAAATGATTTTATTCCCATCTTCAGAGCACACCATCTGACATGAAAAGCACGGCTGCGTCGCGTGACCGGATTCCTCTTTGAGATTTGCTGTCAACCTGGAATTGTGGCGCCGAGCTGAAATTCTATGCTCAGCGCTACGCGCGTAGGTAGTACAGCTGACAGCTAAACGCCTCTGCAATGCGGAGAGACATCTTATTTCTGCTTTGTGGCGTTGTTTGGGATTTGCTGTTCAACTAAACCCGGGTACTCGGAACTGAACGACTCAATGCCAACTCCTTTGATCCAGTAGAGGTTTTCATTCCAATCTTCGATGTCGAATGTTTAAAAGGATTCCACAATTCGAGCCAAGATGCCCAACTTGCACCTCTGAGGTTGCTACGATTCCGAGATCCACTTCACGATGTGTCCACAGTGAGGGCTTCAGCCCCCAACCACACGCAACATGAACGTCGCAACCGCGCGGCCATTTCAACGAGAAGCAGTTCTCAATCATAATTGGTCTATTAGTCTAGTTGGTTAGGACGTCGGATTCTGATCCCAAAATCAGTTCCTTCCGTAAGCCCAGGTTCGAATCCTGGATGGACCTTTGTTTTACCTCTGGTGACGATGCATTGTGTTGCGCGAACTTTTTGGGTTCCATAAACCTCATGGCATAAACTGGGCATCGAGATATGAACAATACGATTATTCATGGTCCGAGCCCAGGACAGGGGTAAAACATGGGGAACTGCGCTTGCCTTTGTTTTGAGCCATTCGGGCCGTGGCGTGAGATAGTTCGCGCCAGTTGGAATCGTAGCGCGCTCGAAGGTTGTCTGGTGAAGAAGCAGGTCCTTCCCCTGCTCGGCCTACACCGTCTTTCCGGGGAACGGGACATTGCGCTGAGCTTCTTCTTTGTGCGATGGCTTGACCTCGAGAGCTTCCGAAAGGCCCGAATGGGCAGCTTTACGAAGGGCTCCATAGAGCTGAGATACGCCCAAGTGTCTAGCTCAGCCCTAGATGTGGTTGGGGAAGTTGCGGATTGCGGCCCGTATCATTGACCCATGTCAAAGATGGTAAATATGCTATGACCTGTGGTGAACATCAAGCCACGGAAGTCAGTGGCATGGTAGTATAAGGAGTCTGGAGTGCTCAGGTGGCAGATTAATTTCGGTGATACAAGTCTTGGCCAGATCATCTCGACAGTGCTCCCTCACCCAATCCTTAATGGCACTTTTCTGTTCCTTGCTACTTTTGCCATGAATCTTCGACAAGACTTCAACGAGGATACTGAACAAGCCCTAGGACCAGCTCTCTTCTCATTCAACTCTTTGACGACCTTGTGCGAAGATGAAACCATAAAGAAACATGGCAGCGATGCTAAAGCCACGCCCTCAAGATCGGAATCTAGACTACACGAAAGCAGTGACGGAAGCATCTCTACATACTCACCTGTAAGCCTCTGTGGATCGATACACATTAGCTGCATTGGATTGACGATAATACGCTGTTGTAGGTGACTTGGGATGGGCCGGAAGACTCAGAAAATCCCAAGAACTGGAACCGAAGACAGAAATGGACAGTCAGTATCACTCTGGCAAACCCCAAGATGTTTAGCATAAGCTCACAGAAGTCGTAGACATCTTTGATTATATCATCGTTCGCGTTCCTATCTCCCCTGTCCTCATCGATAGCCGCCCCAGCTCTAGGACCGATCAGCCACGACCTGCACATCCCCAATGAGGTGGAGCGGCAATTAGTGCTCTCAATATTTCTCCTCACATACGCATTAGGACCTTTCGTATTGTCTCCTTGCTCGGAGATATGGGGTCGAACCCCTATTGTACGAGTTGGGAATTTGATCTTCATTGTCTCGACTGCCCTTTGCGGGTTTGCAGCATCAAAGGAGCAGATCCTGACCTTTCGCTTCCTTGCTGGAATAGGCGGCAGTGCGACTATAGGGGTATGTTTTTCTGGTTCTGAAAGGTTGTCAAACATGCTGACACCTTCGTCAGATGGGCAGTGGCGTACTAGCTGACTGCTGGAAGCCAGAGGAGAGAGGGAAGGGAATTGCATTCATGCAATTCGCCCCCGTTTTGGGACTCGCAGTCGGCCCTATTGGTACGTTGATCACCCAGATACCACTGAATTACATCAAGTGCATATCTAATGATCTCTGAATGTGCAGCGGGTGGGTATATCTCTCAATACGCTACCTGGCGATGGACCTTTTGGTCCGTGGTAATCTTGAACTTCACGGTGCAAGTCATCGCCTTTATCTTTCTTAGAGAGACATACGCCCCACGACTTTTGCACCTGAAGGCCAAGCGACTGCGTAAGCTCTACAACGATATGTCCATTAAAACGGAGTGGGAAAAGCAGGAGCGCACACTCGCTGTCATCCTCAGGACCAGCCTATCTCGCCCATGGATCATGCTCGCTACTCAGCCCATTATACAAAGCCTCGCGCTCTATCAGGCGTTCAATTTTGGACTACTATATCTCATCATATCTAGCTTTCCGAGACTGTGGGAGCATTACTATGGCATGCACAAAGGGCAAGCGAGCCTGAACTACATCTCTATTGCCGTCGGAGCATTGATCGGTGTTTTGATCTCCGCCCCAGCAATGGACATGATTTATCAAAGACTCAAACGACGTCGAGGTATTGAGAAGGATGAGAAGGGATTCCCGGAGTTTCGCATTCCATTAATGGTTCCCGCTTCTCTTCTTACGCCCTGTGGGATAATGCTTTTCGCCTGGACTGCGCAAAACAAGATGCACTTCATGCTTCCCAACGTAAGAAATACTACCTGATCCCCCACACTATGTGGTCTGTCGTACTGACACTACCCATCTGTAGGTGGGTATAGCCATCACTATCGGCAGCAGCATGGTATCATACCAATGCATTTCGGCTTACATCGCCGATTGCTATGCTCTTCACACTGCTTCGGCCTCGGCGGCTTGTTGCTTCATGAGATCCATGTTTGCATTCGCATTCCCACTGTTCGTCCCGGCGTTGTTCAGGAATCTTGGCTATGGCCTAGGTGGGAGTTTGCTAGCCATCATTGCAGTGGTGATTGGTGTGCCAGCGCCTTTGTTGCTCTGGAGATATGGAGCAAAGCTACGGACTCTCAGTAAATTTGGTGTTGCTGAATAGAACATGACTTCTTCATTCTCAAGATTTATCACTTCTCCGTCATGCCTCATCCGGCTGATAATCAGATGCCCAAGCACATCAAAGATTCGCATGTCTGGCTGTCTAGCACGGGGCCTTCAACCGCATTGCCTGAAATACAACTCCAAATGCATGCAATGCAGAAATATGACGAGAGAACTTTCGTAATTGCCGATCAAACAATCTTCTACCGCCGATGATTCCCGCCATTCATTCCACTGAAATCGATGCTACGTGTATTCCGTAATTATAGTTGGTTCAGTGTGAATATTGGCAGTGATTTCTGGGTTTCTCACAACCCAATCTATTGGATTACGAGGCAGAAAAGGGACCCTATTAGGTAGTCAGGTAGGGGGGTAAGTAGGCAGTCTAGGCCCGTACAGACGGACCCTTCTACCTACTTACACCTACAGAGGGATCGCGGGCCCTGCCTACGATCTTCCCCTCTTATATATACGTAATAGACCTATACTAACTTATTAACCTAGTTACGACCAAAAAGTCTAACCTATTTACGTATATATTAATACTAATTAGTAATTAAATTATATATATATTTTTATTATAAGTTAATAAAAATATAATTATAAAAAAAATAGCTTTAACTTACTTTACTAGCTATTTTAACTTATTAACTTAGTTCTATTTATTTAATTAATAATAAGCGGCCTAGTTTATACTACTTTAACTCTCTTTTATTATTATTAATTAATAATTAATTAATTAGTTATAGGTTAATAAGAGCGCGCTCTATTACGTACGATCTTTTTTATTAAAGCTATTACTACGGAAAAATTAACTATTTTATTATTATTATTAACCTTACCTCTATTATTAATATTATTTTTACTAGCTTTATTATAATTATTAATTTCTTTTTAATTAAGCTACTTACGGAGGAATTTATTTTAAATATATTATAACTAAGTACTATTTTAAATTAGTAATAAGTAAGAGGAGATTAATTACTAAGAGATCGATTTAATAATTACTAAAGTACTAGTACTCGGTAATAATAAGACTTTTAGAATTATAAATATATTAATAGCGAAGTATTTTTTATAAATAGTAAAATATTCTAAGATATTAAGGAAAAGAAAAGATCTTAATAATAGTAGTAATAGGGATCTATTTTATATTATTAATAAATTTACCTCTTTTTAATCTAACGGATGCTCTAAAACTAGATTAGTAAAACGAGGTACGAAAAATACTAAAAAAAATTGCTAATTAGTAGCTAACGGAATCCTTTAGTTATTATTAGAAATACGGTTATAAAAAGTCTTTTTTTTCTTTTTGCTAGAAGTACGGTTATAAAAGGCCTTTTTTCTCTTTTTACGACCTTTTACTAACTTTAGTAACCTTCTATTTATATACTTTATTAAAAGAGTAGAATTTTTTAATTAGTAATAGTAGCCCGCTTATTACTATTAAAACGATCGCTATGACCGACTTATTACTTATTTAAACTTACTTAACGTTATACTACGATTAAAGTATAATAATTACTTTTTATAATTATTTTTTATTATATACCTTATTTTATAAATATATTATAATAATTACTAGCCTTAGTAATAAGTAAGAAAGGGCTAACGACTAGTTAATATTACCCTAGACCTATTTATATTTTTAAATTATAGAACTATATTTAATTTTAACTCGTTAATAAGACTACGTTAACTTAACTTAATAGGGCTTATTTAATATTATACTTACTCTTATTTTTAATAAAAAGCTTAATACCTTTATCCTCTTTATAATAAGATCTTATTATTAAGACGGCCTAATAAGTAAGGAGTTATAAAAGGACTTTAAGACTAATTTTAATAGCTAGGAGGTAGGGGACTTTTTAAGAGTAGAGAGTACAATTCTTAAGAAGCTAAGAGACTTTTTTATAAATAATAATATTAACTTAATAATTAGGGACCGTAATTAAATAGTAAATAAAATTATTAGTGCCCTTAATACTTAGTACTTTTTTATTTAGATTTTTAAAAAGATCGTAATTTATTATAGCCATATTAAATATTTTAATATATTATATTACGATCTTTATTTCTTCTATTTATTACTCCTATAATTAGTAAATACTAACGATTTTATTTAATAAGCTAAAAAGATAATAAAGGAGTTTATATAAACTTAGTTAGTTTAATTAAAATAATTAAGATTATAACCTTAGCTTTATTACTAACTAATTAACTTATTACCTCTTTAAAAAGAAAAGAAGGAAGAACTAAAAAATAAAGTTATTATTACTTAATAGCGAAATCTATCCCGTTAAATATTATATTTTAATATAAAAACTAAAGACGATATTATACTTAATACTTATTAATTAATTAACTTTATTAAGCTTTATAATAATAAAAATAAGTATAGTAGCGAGAAGTATAATATTTTTAATAAAAAGCTTCGGATTTTTAAAGTACTATATTAATAAGTAGGAATTAGCGGACGGTACTATTTTAGTACTTTTTTAAATATGCTTAAGAGAAGAGTATTAACTTTTTATTTTAATTAACTTAGTAATATTTCTAACCTACTTAGCTTTAATATAATATACTAGAGGACCTAGGAGTACTTTAAACTACTTATAAGTTATTAAAACTACCTTATTAAGTTTTATAACTTTTATTAGTATTCTATAGTTCGTAAGAATTTAAATAAATCGAATTAATAAATTTTATAAGCGCTTATTAATTATATTATAATTCTTTATAAAGCGCTAATTATATAAGGATCTATTTTTAATATAAGTAATTAACTCCTTTATTATATAAGTAGTATATTAAAATATAGACTTATTATACTTAACTTAGTACTTATATTTATTAATATTTATTACTAGCTTAGTACTTTAATTAATATTATAGAGAGAGAGCGTAACTATAATAAATAGTAATAATATTTTTAAAATAGTACTTATAATAAAGAGGTCCCCGCTACTTATTAAACTAACCGTACTTACGGTAGCTCTAGTAAAAAGACCTAATTTAATAAATAGAATTAATACGGCCGCGGTACTACTAATAAAAAATACTTTATTTATTATAAAACTAGCTATTAATTAACTAAGTACTTAAAAAAAAAGCGACGTTAAGTATATTAAAAATATAAAAATAGTAAAGAAAGGAATAAGAGATTTATACCGAGCTTATACTTATAGTTCCTTACTTTTTATAAAAGAACTACTCTTACTAACAATAATAAAAATAATAATACTATAATTTAATACTTTAATAGCCTCGACTTTAATTATAAGGATAATTATAAGGACGAAGTCTAGATCTTAATAATATACTTTATAACTATTATTAATAATAGAACCTTTATAAATATCCTTACTACTTAGGTAATAGAGTATAGCCTTATTAATATTACTTTTATTAACGAGTTAACTAAGCCCGTAGAATTAGTAACCTCTTTTTTATTAAATAAGAAGTACTCGTTAAGGGATTTTTAAAGTATTATACTTAATATTAATACTACGGAATTCTTAACTACGGGCTATTTTTAACTCTTTATATTATAATAACGACGACTTAAAGTTATTTTTAATACTTTTAGAACTAGCAAAGTAAGTATTCGATTTAGTAATAATAAACCCGTAAGGTTATTAAAATCTATAGTTATTAATACCCTATTTAATAATATTACTTTTTATATTTTATTAACTAATACCCCTTTTTTATATTACTTAAGGGATATAAATAAGCTAGGAATATATTTTAATAATATTAATAATTTATTAATTAAGGGAAACGTTATAGTATTTATTATTTATAAATAGGGATACTTTTAGCTTCTATTCTTTAATAATAAGAAAGCTATTACTAATTACTTAATAAAGGGCGAATTGCGCCGCTTATATTAGTACTTTAGCTACCCTTTAGTTCTTTATTTTTTAAAACTACTTTAGTAGTTTAGTAATAACGTAAAGATCGTAGCCCTTAAGAGGCTTATAAAGGTTTATTAATAATATTAACTTAATAGTACTACCCCTAGCTAATTTAAATTTACTTTATAAAATAATTACGATTTTAATTATAAAATCGTAATTAATATAATATACTTAATAAATTATAAGGGTACTAACTAACTAATACTTTACGTTATTAATATTACTACTTCCTTTTAAGTAATAAAGTTCTTTATAGATATAATTACGAAGTATATATAAGAAGCTTTTTAGTTATATTAGATTAATATTTACCTTAGTTTACTAGACTAGATTATTATAGATATTAATAAGAACTTTAGTATTATAGAGTTTAAATTTTTATTAAGTTTATATTTATTAAGGTTAAGGAAGTGCTTATCGAAGCTTATAATAGTATTAATAAGGCTAAGAGATATTACGTAGTATTTAAAAAGGTATACGATATTATTTAAAATAAGTACTTATTAATAAGCATAGAGGCTATACTTTAGGCCGTAATTAAGGTAGTTAACGATATAGTTAGCCTAAATAGCCTCGTTCTTATACTCCTCGTTTTTAGAGCTTTTTTATATATTTCTAACGAATCTCTATTATTATTAAATATTACTTAACGTATAGAGGTAGTTAAAAAAGTAATAAGGGAAGTCCGTAAACTTTATATTAATAAGTAAGTAAGCGAGGTATTAGCTACTTAGAATAGACTAAATATTTCTTATATTATTAATTTATTATTTTAATTAAATATTAAGGTTTAGTGAGAAGGTAAGGGATAAAAGGGCTTATTTAAGCTTATTTTAATAAGTAGTACTACTTATATAGTAAAATTATTTTATAGTTTAATAAGCTTTTAGGCTATTATAATTAAACCTTAGTACTTAAAAAAGGTTAACCCCGAGCTACTAATTATAGTAACGGAGTACGTTAATTACTTATTAATTCTTATAATTAACTAGCTAACTAATAATAGCATTATTACTAACGAGGTCCTTAATAAGATCGTTATAATAATTAATAACGACCTTCTATTACGAAAGGG